GAGAGAGTGGTGTGTGTGTGGTGTGTGTGTGTGTGTGTGTGTGTGTGTGTGTGTGTGTGTGTGTGTGTGTGTGTGTGTGTGTGTGTGTGTGTGTGTGTGTGTGATTTAAATCTTTAACGGCAATCGGAAGAAAACCATACATTGTTATTTCCAGAAAAGAAACAGATCAACGATTTAATATTTTCACTAGTTGACTGATTGAACTCTTTTCATTAAACAGAAAACTTTTGGCAGCCGCATTATGAGGATGAGCAAAATAGTAACTAATTTAAAGCTTGGCAGATTGCAAAACGATATGGATATTTACATCGGTATGTTTCCTGTATGGAATAAGAATTTATTTATAACATCCTAACCTAGAAAATATAGTGGTCTGACCTGTTTGTACTTTGCCCTTCATGATCAGGTTCTCTGAGTCGTCCAAACTTTCAACTACTTTTCTAAGAATATCCACTTACAAATGTCTTTCCAGTGACTCGAATTGTAATGGAGTGAAACAAAATAAGATAATAAAACAACCACACGGAAAAGAAATGTCAAGCAAAGATGCGTCTTGTCGCTGTCCCTAAATCTTATCTACTGTAGCTTGAGATTCAAGAACCCCGAAATGTTCGCCGTTCTGTTGCCAAGTGGACCCGAGTTAGTGTTGCCGCTGTTCCATATTTTTTCGTATTTTAAAGATGAATTCAGGCTTTTCTAAATGTCTTCATTCTTTGCATATGCTTAGAATTTATTTGCATTATTCTACAAATGCAAGTCAAAATGCGTGTGTTTATGTGTAAATACAGTTTTTTAATATCTTAATTCTCCACCAGACATCACTATATCGTGCCCGAGCAATAGTTATCCTTGTTTAGAGAGAGAATTTATTACTGTGGATATGCCATCAAATACAAATTAGTTAAGTGCCATCACACTTAACGATTCACTTACCATCATGACAAATTGCAAAATCAGAGCAGAATTCAACTGTATACATAATGACAGAAATGGAATCTGTAAAAACTACCCATGTATAAGTTCTAGCTGAGCTAAATGCATTTTTTAATATGTAGTTCTCGTTACTCGTCTCTATACGGTGTAGTTTTAGTTTTAGCCTTTTCGATTTTCAGTTTACATAAATATTATCATTAATCATTTAATGCTATATTAATTATTATTTATTATTATCATTATTTATTATTATTATTATTATTATTATTATTATCTTATTATTATATTATTATTGTTGTTGTTGTTGTTGTTGTTGTTATTATTATTATCATTATGATAATAATTATTGTTTGTTATTATCATTGTTATTATTATTTAATTTATTATTATCAATTATTATTATCATTATTATTATTGTTATTATTATTATTATTATTATTAATCATTATTATTATTATCATCATCATCATCATCATCTGTTTTCATTATTATTGTTACTTATTATTAATATTATT